AAAGCATTTAATCTCCTGTACACATCTCCTTTTGAGGAAAAAAATTAAAATGTAAGGCTGTGTAAGATTTGTTTTTAAACTGTACAGTGTCTTTTTTTTTTTTTTTTTGTATAGTTAACACACTGTGGAATGTGTCTGTAGATAGCCCCGTCCTGGTGGTATCTTCAATAGCCACTAACCTTGCCTGGTACAGCATGGGGGTTGTAAAGTGGCGTGGAAATTTAAAGCAGGTTCTTGTTGGTGCACAGCGCAAATTAGTTATATATGGCACGGTAATGTTTCATCTGCAGTTGTCTCTGATACAGCTTATACAAAACAACTGTCGTTCTGTTATCTGAATATCACTCTGTAATTGAAAAAAAAGTTGCAACTGTTTTGTTGGCATTTGAATGCTCCTAAGTAAATACAACTTTTATTAGAAAAAATGCAACCCCAAAGACAGCCTCCCCAAGCCCCCTTCCATGCCCCCTGCCCTCAGTGCTTCCCCGCACCACCCACCTTTATCTGCATCCTGCGCACCCCTGAGAGCCCTCCAGAGTCCCAAGCTCACTCACCCGCTGCACCTGCTGCCCGGGCACTCTGGCAGCACACCCGTGCCTCCATGCCTCCATCACCAGGGAGGACGCAGCTCCTTGCCCATGGTGCAGGGAGCCGTCGCTTCCTTCTCTCTCGTGCTCCCACGACACTCCCAGAGCCAGGGCCCTGCCGCCACAACAGCTGCACTAAGTCGTCCCTTATAACCCAGGATCATCCCCAGATCATCCGCCCCACAAGCATTCAGGGTACTCAGGTGCTGGCTAGATGGGGGAGTCCACCGAAGCCCCTCCTCCTCCCCTCCGCGGGAGTTCTCTTATAAAACATAAGCTACATGGGAAGCGCCTTGAAATACTGAGCGAGGGGCTGAAGGCGCAGGGGCTGCCACCGGCCTGGCCTCTGTCCCCGCAGCCACAGAGCCAGAACCTCAGGCCCCAGCCTGACCGCACCCTGGCCTTTCGCCTCCTGTCCTCCCGCACGACCCCAGGGCCCAGGGCCCGGAGACCCGCAGAAGGAGCGCGCAGAGTGCGGCGCACACGCTCAGTGCTCACCGCGGCCCGCAGGGCACACGCTGGACACACGCGGGACCCGGGCACACGTGGGCTCGGTGCAGCCCCGTGCACCCCGAGTGCCAGCAGCCCCCCACCACACCGACTGGGGCAGGTTCTGTGGAGATGGCGCCCGCACGTAGGCGCGCTGGGAAGTGCACCAGGATCTTGAAGCTCTAGGGAAGATTTTCGCGAGTAAGATTTCCGCATTAAGTCGTTCGCTAACGCGCAGAAGGTGTGTTTGTTTTGAAGACACGGGTATCCCCCCCTCCCTCCCTCCCTCCCTCCCTGAGAGCACAGGAGCCTTGTGTAACTGGCCCCGACGGTTTGGGTCAGGCGGTGTGATGCTGCCCCCTCCTGGGCAGTTATCCCACAGCAAACCCGACCGAGCAGCGCCGGGCTGCTCTCCAGCCAGGGGCCTTTGCCTACCAGGACTGGCTCAGGATCAGGGCTGCGCTCACTGGCTGCGTCCTAAATGAGCAGACAGAGCTCTGGAGACTGGGTCCTAGGAGGGCCTGAGAGAGTCCCTGGCCCCGCAGGGTGGGACAGAAGGAGTCCTGAAAATGTCACTGGAGATTCTGATCACCCCAGGTAGCGGACTGCGGCAGAGCGGGGCATCCTCCAAGTCCAGTCCCCAAAGGGTGGCCACAAACCTGCCCACGGCCTCCAGTTCGCACCCACTCATCCCTCGTAACCTGCTCCCAGGAAGTGGGCCTAAAAGGCACCGATCCAACCCAAGGGTGAGGACTACACCGCTGTGGCCTCCGCACCACAGACCTAAACCTGCAAGGGTTAAGCTGCAGGATGAAGTGAGGGTGTGAGGCCTTTCATCCCCAGCACTGCAAAAACAAAGAAACATGCACCATCGCGCTCAGCACACCTGGGCACAAAGCACACGCCCACACCAAGAGAAACAAACGGTGACTGAAGTCCTGACATGCTAAATTCAAAAGGCAGAATGTCAACTCCATCGCAAGAACGTCCAAAGAAATGATACACAAGCAAAGAATGGGACTGCACGCCCCACAGCAGTAACTGCCTCCCTCACCAGTGGACTCAGGGGCTTCCTCACCTAGCACTGCTCAGGCGGTGTAGGGGCAGACTGGCATAGGCGCCCTGTCCACGTGGGCACACCACTGGACCTCACCATTTTGGATCATCTAAGACAGTAACAAATCTCATCTCACGTGGCATTTCTCTAAATACAGTGGACTTGAGCTGTCCCTCAAATCCATTTGGTTTAGGATTTTCTTTAGTAAATCAGGTTTTTCTCTTCTATAAATAACTTCTTCCCTCTTCCCACTAAGTTGCCTCCTGCTCTTTTTATTAGAGCTACACAATGCTGGCCAAATCCAGTCCCAGGCTAGCCAAACCCCAAGGTCGGGGAGACGCTCGTCCTGGACAACAGGCCTGTGGGATACGCTGCAGAGCATCATGAATATGAGAGATGAATGGGCTTTCTTCCCGTCCCAAACAAAGGCTGGGCAGGTGCCGCCATTTGCACTCGTGAAGCACAGTTCTCCAGCTTCCCAGAGATTTCTGCCCCTCAACGCCCTCCCTCTCCCCACCTGTTCCCCCATGGGTCCCATCCCTAGCTGAGACTTGAGCTGCGGGTGGCTACTTTGGGAGGCAAGCAAATTCCCTAGAGGCCGAAAGCCCTTCCCTTCGCTTAGAGGCCAAAGACAGATCCTCACTCTTATTCCAGTTGCTGCTGTTCAAGAGAAAGATTCAGCTTCCCTTTATTAAATCATTGGATTTGTAACCTATTCCACATGGTGCATCTCTCCCTCAAATAATGCCTAAGAATAGGAGGTATAAAACCTGAAATGTGGAAGGAGATAAGGTACCACACTAAACACGAACAGCCTTGATTCCTAATCTTAATCTCTGTGCACAATTTTGCTTTGATATTCACATCCTGGGACACAAAGGCAACAGGTATGAGGGGTGAAATATGGTCTTTGCCCAGAAAGCCACCCTTAGAGATTGGAGGTATGCACAGAGGGAGATGTGGTTCGGCACAGGAGGATGGGGGACTTTAGGATGGCTCTCCTGTCGGTCCCGGCAAAGGAAAGCCAAATACAGAGAGACTGACCATCAGAGATGAGGGCAGGCCTGGGAGCAGAACTGAAACTCCCAGTGGCAAAATCAGAAATGAGTTGGTAGTGAACATGATGCTTGAGAAGGCCTTAGAGAAAGTAAAAGAACTGAGCAGTGTCGCACAGAACCAAAGGCGGCTGTCTGTCTGCCCGTGTGGCTCAACTTTAGTAAGTAGGAGCCCAACCACAAGGGTTCTGTGTCTGCTCACCTGCGCCCAGCCCTTCTTCCTTCCAGAAGGCAAATTTCTCCACCCCAGACGCTTCTTTGCAAGCTTCTGCAGGCCTGGAGGGAACAAGGAGCACCAGTGCAATGAGATGAAAATGCAAAAAGTGGAAAACGCCTTGGGCTGAAAGGCAGCCGCTGAAAACTCTTCCAGGGAAACGTGAAGAGGAAGAAGGGTTAGGGGCTGGGGAGATGGCTCAGTGGAATAAGCGCTTCCCTGGCAAGCGCAAGGGCCTGAGTTCAATCCCCAGTTCTGCCCCCCCCCAAAAAAAAAGAAGGGTTAGCTCGCGGTGCTAAAGACCTCAACTTCACCAGGCCTAGACATCATTCCTGCCTTACATGGTAAGTGATACAGGAGCCCGGCAGAGTGGCAGGGTCAGGAAGGGGATGGAGAGTTCAAGGCCAGCTTGGCCTGTGCAGCAGTTCAAAGTCAGCCTGGACTACGCTGCCAGACCCTGTCTTCACAAAATAGCTTGAGAATTAGGTAGACATGAGCAAGAGAGAAACAGACATAGACATGGCGTGACAGTCTCTTCTAACCACACCTTAGTCTGCTTCTTGAGCTCTGTGCTACACGAGGTTCTAAGTGTGGGTTGTAGCAGGAATCCTGTGAAGTCAGCTTGACCAGAATCCCGTCTGGGCAGTCTGCACGCTCCCCAGCTCTGACCAACCCCTCATCTCTCACAACTGGTCCCTAGGCTGTCGTGAGAATGCAGCAGGTAGGGTCCCCAGAGCCTGATGTCTCCAGGTAACCACATCCATTCTGCTCCTGTTCTCAGCCCTGCCTTCCCTCCTCTTGGCAGTTGAGCCCAGTCCCCCACAGCCACAAACTTCCACTGCATATCTGCAAGGGACACAGTGTCCTGTGTGACACCTGTGGCCACAGTTCCAAGCAATGGCTGCTGCACAATTCCAACAGGTAGGGCTGGTGAGATGGCTCGGTGGTCTAAAGCACCTACTTAGAACAAGCTAAGCCAAGCAAAGCACAGGGACCTCGGTTCAATCCCCCAGCACCACATGCCAGCCCGCCCGCCCCCTGGTGGGCTGAGCTGGCCACACACAAAAATAAATAAATAAATACATAAATAAATAAATAAATAAATAAATAAACAATTCCAACAGGTATCAGGATGGTTTCATGTGTTCCTAGAGGCTGTCTAACATGGTTATCATTCCTGCTCCTAGGCACGTGGATTAGCCCTCAAGGGGATCTCCAAAAGCTCTGGGGGGCAAGGGGTGTGGGTTGGAAGGGATTTGTGAGAGGCTACCAGCATGCCCTGGGTTTTCCTAGCCACAGAACTATAAGATTTCCCAAGAGTCAATTGTGCACACACACCAGGGGTGCACTGGACTTGTGGGCAGCAGCCCCTAGGGCAGTGACCATTGTAACCACCCCAGGCTAACCACACTGCAATCACAGCACAGGGCAGCCTGAGCAGGTCACCCGCTTCCGGCCCTGCCTACGACCCCCCCACCTCCAGTCCCAGAACCCGACCCATTGCGCCCAGGGCTCTGCCCAAGCTCCCGCCTGCCGGAAACCTCCCCGACTGGGGGCGGCGGCCAGGGGAAGGGGCGGCGCAGACCTTGGAGCGGAGGATGCACGCCGGGCTCCTGGGGCTGTCCGCCCTGCTGCAGGCGGCTGAGCAGAGTGCGCGTGAGTGCGGGGCGCCTGCTAGTGCCCCCCAACTCTCCCCACAACCCTGAGCGGGGTGCGGGCGCCCCCAGCTTTCCCCACGGCCCTGCACCCCGCTGTACGACGGCTACTCCCCACACTGCCTCCCGCCTCGTGGATGCCGCGGGCGCCCCGCGTGGGTGCGCGACCCCGAGGACATTCTGCGTAACTCCCTGCTTCCCCGCGGTGCGCGATCCCCGGACGCGCGACTCGCAGAGGATGCGGGGCTCCCTGACCCCCGCACGACTCTCCAGATGCAGGGCTCCCGGTTCCGCCTGGTTCGGGGCCTGTGGCTGTCTCTGGCCAGGAGGGACACTAAGGCCTGGAGGCTGGGGTTCCAAAGCGCAGGACTCCCCTCGGGCTCAAGCCAAGCCGGGACCGCCGCGGTGCGCAGGCCAAGTGGGCCAGCAGCGTGCAACGTTCGCGCCCTTCGCGTTTGAACTCGGGGCTCCTCCCGCGGGCTTAGGGCCTCGCCCACTTCCGCCCGCTTGGCGGCGCTTCGGGATGGGCGGGTCCGGGAGGCCGTGTGTGGAGACCCTGCGGGCGCGGTCTGACCCGCTGCGGACGCGCGGCATGAGCTGGGCCGGGGTAGGGTGAGGTCCACTGAGCCCCAAACCCAGTTTACGCGTTAGTGTTGCGAAGCTCCCGGCGCCCCGACCCCACCTCGGTGCCAGCGACCCCAAGGTCCTGAGTGTAGCCGTGCGCAGGCCACAGCGCCCTTGTTTTCTCTTACTGAATTTATAGTTACACAGTAATGAGTTCCACATTGCCCGGCGCGCGCAGACTGCTTGTCGGCCACACCTGCCCTCCCACTGCCCCTTCGTCCTCTCCTGTGCCCCTCCCATCACTCGCCTCTTCCGCTTCTGGTCACCTTTTCTTTACGATGGTTTTTCTGTCTGGCTCAGTGTCCTCGGCCGTCTTCCTGCAAACAGCCTGCTCCGTCCCTTGTGGCTGGACAGTCCCCGCTGTGTGCCTTCACCTCCTTTTCAGTGTCCACTCGTCTGCGTACGGACACCCAGGCTGGTACCAGCTGTGGCTGGTGTGCGTGGTGGCACGGTTCTGCGCGGCCCTGGCAAGGCCGAGGCGGCCGAGCTGCTGTGCATCCAGCTGGGGTCCTGCAGCTCCGGGGGGCCCTAGTCTCAGTGTCCTGAGGCCCCACACCGTTCTTCACAGAGGCGCTGCGAAGGGCCCCCGTCTGCGCTTCCTACAGCATTTGCTTCTTTGTCTGTCCCCAGGGTGAGGTGGTCCCTCCTTGCGGATTTCATTGGCGTTTCCCTGTTGCCCAAAGATAGAGTACTTTTTCATAGCTGTATTATTTGCCCATTTTTTACTGAATTATTTGGGGTTTTGTTGTTAAGTTTTGGGGGTCCTTTATACATTGGGAATGTCAGTCATCTGTCAAGAAAGTAGCTGGCGGCGCTCTCTCCCATCCTGCAGGCTCTGCTGTTTGCTTTCTTGTCTGGCAGAAGCGCCTCAGCGATGCCACCTCCGGACCCTTGCTCTTCTCCCAGAGCTGTTGGAGTTCTGCCTGGGACTCACCGCCGTGCTCATTTTCCTTCTGCTTTCCTCTGATAGTTGAAGGGTTTCCGGTATTAAGATCTTCGATCCATTTTGAGTTGGTTTTTATACAGGGTAACAAATAAGATTTCGTCTTCTGCATTTGAATATGCAGTTTTCTCAGCACCATTTGAAGAGGCTGCCCTTTCTCCCTGCACCTGTCAGGAGTTGGAGACTGAAGATGCAAGGATTTATTTTGGGGTCCTCTCCTGTCTCACCAGGATGTGTCTATTTGGTCATTGACCTTTTGTGCCAGTCTAGTGCTGCTTTTGTTACCATGGTGGTATTGTATATTTTGACTTTTTTATTTTTTGCTTTTTTTGTTTCCGGTGCTGAGAGTCTAACTTATGACCTTGCCTTCCCAGGCAGGTGTTGTGTCACCGCACTATATGCTGGGCCCCACTGTTGTCTGTATTTTGAAATCAGGTACTGTGATGCCTCTAGCAGTGATCTTTTTGCTCAGAACTGTTGTGGGTATTTAGCATCTTTGTCCTTCCATGTGTATTTTACGTCTTTCTGGGAAGAATGTTGTTGATATTTTGATGAAAATTGCATTCACTCTTCTGGAGGGTTAACAACCTCAGTTTGCAGACCAAAATTAGAGAAAAAGGAGGGCCGCAAGGAAAGCCAACATTTTGGCCCTAGCCTTCCAAGGTCACTTAAGACTCAGGACATATGAGAACTTGTACTGTAATGTCATGTAACTCAGTAGTGTCCCAAAGTTTCTGATCAAGGAGATTATGGGGCCAAAAAGGAAAGTGATCGATGATGTAGAGTGTGCCTAAGGAGAGTCACATGGAGAGAAAACATTCTCTCAGGCTTTCACAGAGAGCACGTTGGCCAAGCAATGACCATCACTCATCCACGTGGCTGACACTGACAAAGGTTTTACAATCTGAGGTACAGGATCTCAGGATAAATCCTGAAGGGATTTCACTGACCTTATCAGACCCAAAAGCTACAACTCTTGTTGCATAGGTCCTGCTTTACCTTGGTCTTAACCATCCAGCAGAAAAGTATAAAAAAGAAATATAAGAAGTAAAGCCTTGTTGTTAGGTTGAGCTGTAGGGGACTCAGGTCAACAATTTCTGACATTGCCAGTCAAGCGGAAGACCCAATACTATTATGGGCTACTGGACTCTTTTAGAATATTTTGCTGAGTTTACACACCTATAATATTCAAATAATGGAACTAAACAAAAAAGGGTATACAGATGAACGTCCATTTTGTATCTGTGTATTCAAAGTGGTTAGGATAGATATATAGTTACATTCTCTTAATGAATAGAGGGATTTGTTCTAATGGTGTTTATAAATAGGATATCAAGTCCACATCTTGTACAGCAATTAACCACTAAGAAGAATGTATGCAATGTGTTAATTATTGAAACAGTCCTACCAATTTGGTTTGCAACTGTCTCATTGCTATTTGTTTCTCAATAAAATTATGGGGAAAAAAGCATAAATAAAAACAAAATAAAGGTATCTATAAAGATAGATATAAGGAAAGAATGAGATAGATCTGCTGTAAATGGAAAGGAGATGAAGAGAGGGCAATGTAAGAAAAGCACTACGATGTGTCATGTATGTGTGTCAGATACCTACAATGAAGGCAGTCATTATGTACTGCAAATATGTGCTACTAAATAAAAGTACAAAAAATAAAAAATTGCATTCACTGAAGTTCACTGTGGGCAGTTCAGCTATTTTAACACCCCCTTCCCAATACCAGGGATTGAATCCAGGATCTGATGTGTGCAAGGCAAGTGCTGTCTACCACAGAGTGACAGCTCAAAATTCCATTTGCAGACAGGGTCCTCCCAAGTTGCCCAAGTTGACGTGAACCTTGGCAGTCCTCCTGCATCAGCTGCCCGAGAGCCTGGCTCTGTTAACTCAATGTCCTGATTCATGAACGTGGGAGGTCTCCTGCCTTCCAGGTCTTCTTCAGTGTCTTTAGTGTTGTGTAATTTTCTTTGTAGAGGCCTTCCACATGTTCAGTTAGGTTTATTCCTAGCTACTGTGTGTGCTTGTGTGAGTGTGCTTGCGTCTGGGGTGAATGGCATTACTGTCTGATTCGTCACTGAGGTCATTAGAGCTATATAAAACAGCTACTGATTTTTGTGGATTAATTTTGCGTCTTGCGCCTACAGAGCTTACTAGCTCTGACAGTCTTTTGGTGGAGTCTTTAGGGTTTTTCTCTACAGAACTGTATCATCAGCAGGGGAGATCATTGGACTTCCTCCACTGCTGTTTGTTTGCTTTTGTGTCTTTCTCTTGCCTCAGTGCTCTGGCTAAAACTACACTGCATGAATGGTGATGGTGCACCCCGTCTTGCTCCGAATCTTGGGGAGCACTGATCTCAGCAGCCAGCTTTGGGGAATGCCCAGCACTTCCCTGCTGTCCCCGGCAGCAGCTCCTGGCCCTGCCTGGGTCCAGCAGCATCTTGATGATTTGGATACTGTGTTGTGGGTCAGGTTGTTTTGTTGCTGGTTTTTAATGAGCGCGCTGGTCAGGTTGGATGACCCGAGGTCCCAGGACAGGCTCAGGGAAGCAAGGTTCATATCCCCACAGGCGGCAGAGTCGGAGGTCTGGCAGCACATGGGTGGTTCCAGGTGGTCAGAAGGCAGAGGTGTGGAGCCTGCGGCAGTAGGGAGGGCAGGAGGGCCAACACTGGAGCGGTTCCCATGGAGTGTGGCCATCACCCACGGCCTTGCAGCCTGGCTCCTGAGAACCAGCCCTTGTGGCCGGTGGGTCCCAGCCTGTGGACGGCTCTGGGCTGCTTGACCTGCGTACCCCAGGCGTTGTCTCAACACCTCCTGTGCTGCTGCAGAGAAGTGGCTGCTGTGGGAAGGGTATTCTCTCCCAGCGAGGAAAGCCTGCCGGGCAGTCAGACCCATTGGAAGTGTTCACAGCACAACCCGGTCTCCTTTGCATTCCTCATAACCTGTCTCTTCTCCCCCTAGGCCTCTGCACTGCAGCTTACTTCTTTGCCACAGGAGAGACTCTCTGGGCGTGGCTGGCCCTCTCTGTCCTCCTGCCTGGCCTCTTGGTCCAGGGCCTGAGCTACCTATGGTTCCGAGCAGACGGGCACCACAGCCGGCCCTGGCTGGTGCTGCTGCACCTCCTGCAGCTCGGCGTCTGGAAGCGGTAAGAGCAGCGGCCAGCCGGGGCAGGTGCAGGGCGCAGAGGGCGGCGTTGTAGTGCATGGGCCCTGCTGCCCAGCCCAGCCCGCCCACCTCCTTGGGCATCTATGATTTTCGGGTCGTTCAGAAACTTTTTTTTGTCTTCAGCCAAATTTTGGTTTGCTGGTCTTTGCATCTGTTCTTCACCTTTGGAGCCACGTAAAGGAACTTGCCTGTGGCAGTCCATCTATACACTTGTCACCTCAGTGGAGAAGGTGACAGACTTAACCCTGATGAGATAGAAGTAGCCCCCGGGGGGGGGGGGAGAGCTCAGTAGAATAAGCACTTGCCTGGCAAGCACAAGGGCCTGAGTTCAATCCCTGGTTCCGCAAAAAAAAAAAAAAAGAAGTAGCCCAGGAGCGTCTGCCTTCTCCCAGAGAGGAATCACCCAAGTACCAGGCCAGTTCTGTCCCCCATGAAACAATAGTGACCATGGCCCCGAGCCCCATCACCTAGGATCCAGGCACCGCCTCTGCAGGCTGGCCCGTGTCCTATCATCTGGAACCCCCACATCCCCCCACCCCAGGCACAGGAGAGGCACAAGAAACATGGCAGTGAGGTCACACAGAAGGCGTGTTCTGGCCGTGGGCACTTCCTCACCCCCTAGGGTGGAAGGGAATGTTTTCAAAGAGAAGAATCCGGGAGCTGCACAGAGGGCAGTGTCTGCCCTGGCCAGCCCTGCTGCTCACGGCGCTTTCTGGAGGGCCTGGCGCCAGAGGGTCTAAGGCCAGGGGCAGTGAAGGGCCAGGGACCAGCACGCCCCACCCAAGGGCAACGTCAGGCCTGTGGATGGTGCTTCCAAGAAAGACCCAGGTAACCACCAAGTTTTCTGGGGTCCCCTGAGAGTGTCGCCAACAGGGATGAGGCACCAGGAGTTCATCTGGGTTCATCAGTCTCCCTGAGCCGAACTCTGTTGGAACGGACCAGCTCAGTCCTGTGCCTCTGACCTGCCACCCTCGCCTGCCTTTGAGTTGGGCCCTGGTCCAGGTGGTCACAAAGCACAGGGCCTCACGACAGGCAGCCTGCACAGGGAGTGCCCCAGCCTCACTGTAAGCAAACGCCCGGAGATAGTGGAAAGAGGCTGAATGGGTAGAGTGGCCTCCTTAGTAGCTGTCAGATCCTGTAATCCAGCAATTCCCTGGCCTATACTTAAAAGTCAATATGGATAAGAGAAGAGGGACGAGAAAATTAGAAATAAGAAAAAATAAACAAGTGGTCATCGAGATCTTGATTTTAAAAAGTCAGGTGACCACAACAATTGCACACATAATTTAAAAGGACAAAAGTGTAAAACCAAAAATAATGAGGCGGCGAGAAAAAACAAAAAGGAAAAAAAAGGAGCAAAATTTGGAGGCGGGCAAATTGTTCTAGAGCAAATCCGGTTTTCCAAACTGCAGTTTGGCAGGTAGGCCTGCAGGGGGCGCCAGAAAATCGTGTTTCACAGGACGCTGAGTTGCCCTCCAGAGTGGGTGGCCCTGAATGAGCTCCCGGGAAATGTGGAAGAATCCACCAAAAGCAGAACATCAGTAGCACAGGCCTCTTCAATGCAAGCTGTTTTTCAGAATGTAAGGTCTTTGGTATATTTGTAAAATCCCAAGTAGCACAAACTGCATTCATCTTAAATCAGACTATTGAAGAGAAACTGTTACAACTGATCTAAACGAAGATGGCTATGTTTTTCTGTTTAGGAGTTTAGCTTCCACGAACAGCTTTTTACTCTTTGAAGCCTGTAAGTCCATTCGGGAGCTCAGCACAAGGCGGTAGGAGAATACCTGGACCTCCTGTGCAGCTAGGTCTAGTGATTTTTCCTTAGTGGAAGTTAAAGGACCAGACAGACAGACAGACAGACAGAGTTGTAACTGGATATTGAACCCAGGTCCTTCATATTGAGCTACTTCCCATCTTTTTTGTTTTTGGCACAAGTTCTCTCTAAGTTGATGAACTGCGCAAGCTAGGCTCAAACTTGAGACCTTCCTGCACCAGCCTCCCAGAGTACTGGCTAATTTTATCTCAAAATGAGTCAAGGCAGACTTTAAGGGTGAGTAATACTAGCGCAGCACAGATAGGTGGAGATGGACTATTTCAGAAACGCAGTAGCCACTCGTGGTGGTGCATGCCTATAATCCCAGCCATGGGGAGGCTGAGGCAGGAGGATCACCGGGAGTTTGAGGCCAGCCTGGGCACATAGTGATACCCTGCCTCAAAATAGGTAGATAGATAGATAGATAGATAGATAGATAGATAGATAGATGATAGGCGCACACAAAGTGCTGCACGCCCCTGCTGGCCTGCACTGTTGCTGGTTTGGCGCTGACATCAGCACAAGTGCTCGAGAAAGAGCGGAGTCCTTTGCCGTTCGAGCTCTACAGTGAAGCAGAGAGTGTGGGTTTAATTGAGCTGATAGCAGGGAACAGCCAGTGCTTACTGAGCCGCTGAGAACCGCACCCCAGGGACCCGGGCCAGGTCCTTGATGGCCTGTGTGTGTGGCTCTCGCGGCCCGTGGAACTCCACTCCTCATCCACACCATGTGGCTCTGCGGCCTTGGCTAGCTCTGGGGAGTGCAGGAACCGAGGGCCGGGAGGATGGCCCGCACTGGGTGTAGTCTTCCACCACGTGGAAGCGGTGTGACCCTGCCGGGCAGCAGGGAGGCCAGTAGGGCCAGACGGTTTTCCCTGAGGACAGACAGCACCTTCCGTGTCCTCTGGGGCAGGGGGAAGGTCGGGGCCTTGCACCGCGCAGCCCAGCCATGTGGGCGGGAAGCATGTCAAGGCTGGGGACAGGAGGAGTCCCTTGCAGGCCTGGGGAGACTAGCCGTGGCCAGGAGGAGCAAGGCAGCCAAGGGCTGGGGCCTTCCCCAGGCCAGAGCCCCGTGAGAGCTCTGAGCATCTTACAGAAGACAGAGGCAACGGAAACTGCAAGGGAGGGGTGGGTCCTGCATGGGAAACACCTTCCAACTTCTCATTCTCTCTGCTCCCTGTAGCACGGGATCAGACCTCAGCAAATATGGCTGTGGAAGCCAGGTGTGGTAGTACAGCTGTGGGCCTCCACTGTGGGAGGCTGAAGCAAGAGGATCAGCCTGAATGACTCAGTGAGACCCTGTGCCAAAATTTTAAAAACAGTGGGCTGGGAAGATAGCAGTCTAAGCACCTGCCTGGCAAGGACAAGGACCCAAGTTCAATCCCCGGTACTGCACGTTGTGCTGGCCCCAGGATCCTGGGTGTGGTGGTGCACACCTGCAATCCCAGGGCTGGGGAGGCTGAGACAGGAGGATCACTCTGAGTCCAAGCTGCATAGCAACACCCTGTATCAAAAGAATAAAAAATAAGTAGGAGATGTGGCTCAGTACGAAGGCCCTAGGGCTAACCCCCACTGCCCTCAGCATTAAGAAAGTATCTTGACCCAGAGAAGCCTCTGGAAGGACAAGAAGAGGAAGCTACCAAGCCACTGGCTTCAAAGACTCAGTAAGAAATGAGTTCGCCCCAGGCTTCCAAATCATTCTTGTGCACTTTTGCTCGGCCCTTTCAAAGAAGACCCCCACCTTTGCTCAGTCGCAGGGTGCTGCCTAAAGATCAGTCCCACAGTCCTTGCAGGGTCTCAGGGAGCGCCTGGTGAGAGCTTTTCTAGGTGACCCAGATGGTGCTTGCAGCTCAAGCTCAGGGTCGGAGACCACAGCACGTCTGGGGTTTCCTGACAGGACGAGACTGGCGGCTCTTCTGCTGAAGGGGCTGCAGGGCAACAGAGGAGGGATCACCCTGCTGTCCACACGCAATCTCAAAGTCCACAGGGCCTGGGATGACCCTGACAGTTTTCACGAGGTGAGCCTCTCTGGAAAGGTTTATGGGATAGGTTTGTGGACCAGGCGGTGGCAGGGGCATTTCCGGCCCAGTGACCCCACGCCCACCCCGCTCCATAGGCCCTAGGCCCAGGGGACACAGAGGGCTACGGTCTATGACACCTGGCAGGGGGCTTCCATCTCTGCTCAAAGGGATAGCTGAGCCCAGGACTTGCAGCCAACTTCTGGGGAAGGAATCTCCATTCCCAAGGGACTCCGTCCGGCACAGTCTGGTCACCACAAACCTCAGGGAGCTCAGCCTGGGCCCTGCCCTGCAGCCTCCCACAGGGAGCCCCCTCCGTGTGGGGTCCTGGCTCCCGGCCCTCCAGGAAGGGGAGATTGAGGGCCGCCAAGGTCTGTTAGAACTGACATCCTCAGCTCCCCGTGGGCCCCATGACAGCCGGGCTGTGAGCCTGTGATAGCCCAGCACCAGACACCCCTTAGGGTGCTGCCTTGTTTCTGCAGATGAAAGGGCAGCCCCATGGAGCCTGCGTACTCTGGCTGTATGTCAAACTGCCTCTCTGCTCTGTAGGCACTGGGACGCCGTGGCCATCCTTCGGAAGGGACGGCAGGCGCCTCACTCAGACCACCTGCAGCTGCAGGAGGCCGACCTGGCAGCGCTCCGGCTCCTGGAGGCCCTGCTACAGAGCAGCCCCCACCTGCTGCTGCAGACCTACGTCTCTCTGGCCTCGGGCTTCACAGACGCTGTGGCTGGTGAGCAGCTTCTGGAGGGGAAAGACCCACACCCTGGTCAGTGGAGCCCTCCCCTGCGAGGACCCCGAGCGAGAGCTTTGGCTCAGGGAGCCCATGCTTGCTTGCCCTGGCTTTTCTGTGTGTAGACATGCATTTGTAAACAACACAAACTGTCTGCTGCTGTCTCCACCCAGGAACTTGAACCCTGCTACACTTCACTGAGCCAGGTTGTCAAACGCGCTTTGATGAGAACTCTGTGCCCCCAATTCCTTTCCAGGGGTCAGTGCCCTGCTGTCCTGGTCCTCGCTGTCTTGGGCCCTCGTGTCCTACACCCACGTCCTAGACGGCATGAAGCCGGGCCGCCGGGCTGGGCCGTGGGCAGCACTCTTCTGCCAGCAGCTCTGGCGGATGGGCATGACGGCGACCCGCGTCCTGAGCCTGGTTTTGTTCTGCAGAGCCTACCGAGTGTGGGTTTTGGTGGTCGGAGGTAAGTGGCACTTGAGACCCAGTCATCCACCGCTGAGTACCACACCGCCCCAGAACTGAACCCTCTTAAACCCAACCATGCACACTCCTGGGCCCCAGGGCTGGGGCCCTGACCACAGAGAGACGTGAGTGCCAAGGTGCGTCCTCACGCACACCAGGCACCAGAGCTCCTCTCCTAACTTTATTCCAACAAAGCAGCTCCACCTGCCCTGGGCAGCCAGACTCCACATGGGCACAGATACCAAGACGACCTATCCGGGCAGGCCCAGACCCAGCTCAGGCCAGCTTCTGCTACACTCTGCCAACCAAGCAGGCATGGGCAGCCCCAGCTCACAGGCGGGGGTAGACTGCAGCCCAGCATAGCAAAGCATCGGGGACACTTGGCCGGGCACAGCCACAGCCTCAGAGAGCCCGGTAGCTGAAACAGCGTCCGCTGGCCTGCTGTCGGGCTGATGGTTCCTGTAGAAAAGCTGTCAGCAGGACAGCAGGGAGGCGCGGCATCCCCCCTGACCTGGTGCACAACACACAGTGTCTCCTCTCCAGCCTGGTGGCACGGATCCAAACGGTGATGACAGGGAGTCTGTCTGCCCCGAAGTCTCTGAAGCGGCCTGTCTGTCCCTGCCAAGGACAGAAATCTCCGCTGGTCATCGGTGAACATGCTCTGCAGGAAGGACCAGTGCAGTCTTGTTTTAAGACAACTGGGCACACTGAGAAATATTTGGCCCTTGGGCCCCAGGAAAACATTAGTTATTGGCAGAAAAGACCATGTTTTAAAAACAGCTATGTTCCTATAAAGAGATTAGTTATGCTGTAGCCATCCATTTTAACATTCAGTTTGAGCTCCAAAAGAATATCTTTCCTCTTAAAATATAGCAATAAGAATTAAAGCTGGACGGCCCAGCATTCTTTCTTCCCTTTGGGTGTGGAGCTTTTGGCTCGTGTGGTAAGAATTCAGAAATAGTAAGCTGGACAGTCTGTTTTAAGGCCTCCTCAAATGCTTTTTGGAATGGAAAAGGATCAGCACATACCATCCCATTGTGTGGGTGGCGCCAGTCTCTGC